TTCTAATTTGCCTTAGAGTATATTCGTCTGCGCGTTAGTTTCGTATCGCTCGTACAGTGTTAGGTCGTACTACCGGTCATAGCAAACCATGAAAATTGGTCAGGTTATTTGAAAGCATGCACCTCGATAATATTTACTTTAAGTTGAGTGTTGATTAGGTTATCTAGTCTGATGAATGAACGTTCACAATCAAATGTCACATCTAGGGGAACATCAGAGAAAGCCGATATCTTAACACTAAGTTACACGTATTCCCTACTTGTACTAACATTTAAAAGAAAGAAAGGCGGGAAAAAACGTGCAATTCAGGGAAGAACATATTGTTCAATTCATCTTACAGCCAAGTTGACCTTGTTGTGTATTAGCTAAGCATTGTTACATATTAGATCAAACTTTGATATAGCAAACAGTGTATTACAGTAATATCTACTGGATAACGCCTCCAGCAAAATTTCCTACTGACATTCACATCATATGACTTACAAATCTCATTCATGTACAGTTTACCAGTTCTTCATTCAATTTGAAGGTTTGTGGGGATACGTTTACTGATTTCAGGTTGGTATTCGTCACGGACTGACACAGGCTAGGGAAACGTTGGAAACCTGAGAGGAATGGGGAGCTGTTTTTTCCTAATATGGGACTTCTCAGCAATTTACATCTATGACCCTAAAAGAAATTGAGTCCTGGAACTTCAGGTCCCGCAAACAGAACGCTACCATTGAGCTACTGGGTAGGAATTCTGTGGCCAATACTTCCTACTTCTGTCTGATTACGATATAGCACGATCTCCACCCATTGTTGTTGTTGAATAACTGTTCTAATGCCCAAATTGGTTGACCCAACTGACCACATCTTCTGATTCAAACTGCGGTCACTCATTGGTGACTGACTTCGAGAGGGATAGAGAGACTTTGTGATCAAAATAACCTTATCTATCAAATTCCCTAATGTTTAACGATTGTGAGGTGAAGCATATAGATCAGAGTAGCCAATCAGAGTCAGTCAGAATAGGACAACATAGAAAACAATGATAGATCCTACTAAGTTAAGTAATGTGTAGAAAAAACTCGGCTAACTCTCTGCCAACATTGACCCATGACCCCACTATGGGTTCAAATAGGAAAACATTTCTAAAATCCAATTTGACTATCACTAAAAGATTGAACTATGCTCAGGTGAAGTTTATCAGTCTTATAATGACTTTGATATACGAGTATGAGCAATAAATTCTGTTGGAAACGGTATCCAGTAAAATATACTATATCACATTGTGTACCACATCAAACAAGCTAATCTAATGTACAATTATAGTCTACCACAATGTCAAAGTGAAAAGAATCAGTAACATTTAGTCATCAATATAAGTGTAAAACTTGGGAACTGTGGTCGATTGTAATTCCACTTTAGTCAGTGTATTAGCTGTGTCACACAGTGAAGAAACAGTAGCATTTACTGGATAACCATGTTTCGGACACAATTTGTTGTCCATATTCATATCAGGTAAATAACTCCACAACTTCGAGACAGTCTTTATATATTCCTAATTCTCTCTCCTTCTCTGTGATCATAGGTGTAGTGGAATTTTCCATATATCTGGGACAGGTCCACAATCATTTCTTTTACTGCATGCACTTGCTGTTGATTCGATAAACAAAGATTCACTCGGTTATCAATCTCTCCCTCCCTCCACCCAACTAAGTTAGTTCTCAAAACTGTCACCCTATCCCACCCTACTGTGTCACTGATTGTGTGTCATCGCATGTAGAGCTATATAGCCGAGTTTTTTCTCTAGATTTCTTAACTGATTACCATCTACTGATCTTGATTTAGCTAAGTTTTTGTGCTCTGTTATTCTGATCGAGCCGGGCTGGTCGACTGACTGCTTTGACCTATGTACTTGACGTCGCAATCATTGCAGGGATCTGGTAGACCAGATTATTTTGCTAAATTGCGTCGATAGGATCTTTTTAAATGCTTAACACTGAAATGCTTAAGTAATAGAGCGAAGAAGCTTACTAGTAGATGGGAAAATCTGCGACAAGAAATTAGACACATCAAGAATACCCTACGTCTCAATAATTACCCACCAAAATTTACATATAAATTCATAAGAAATCGAAAGAAAAATATTAGCACTGGTAGTAGTAGTAGTAGTAGTAGTAGTAGTAGTAGTAGTAGTAGTAGTAGTAGTAGTAGTTATACAGATGTTATTAATAATATTCCCACTACTAGTGGTAATAATGGCGACAGGGTTAAGAGAGAATTCAAAGCCTCTACTGTGTTACCGTACAAGAAAGGCACCTCAGAAGCACTACGAAGAATTCTCAATGAGGCTGGTTGGGATTAAAGTGGCGTTCAAACCAACAAACTCAAAGCTTAGAAACAAGCTTTGTAGGTTTAAAGATCCTACCGACGCAATTTAGCAAAATAATCTGGTCTACCAGATCCCCTGCAATGATTGCGACGTCAAGTACATAGGTCAAAGCAGTCAGTCGACCAGCCCGGCTCGATCAGAATAACAGAGCACAAAAACTTAGCTAAATCAAGATCAGTAGATGGTAATCAGTTAAGAAATCTAGAGAAAAAACTCGGCTATATAGCTCTACATGCGATGACACACAATCAGTGACACAGTAGGGTGGGATAGGGTGACAGTTTTGAGAACTAACTTAGTTGGGTGGAGGGAGGGAGAGATTGATAACCGAGTGAATCTTTGTTTATCGAATCAACAGCAAGTGCATGCAGTAATAGAAATGATTGTGGACCTGTCCCAGATATATGGAAAATTCCACTACACCTATGATCACAAAGAAGGAGAGAGAATTAGGAATATATAAAGACTGTCTCGAAGTTGTGGAGTTATTTACCTGATATGAATATGGACAACAAATTGTGTCCGAAACATGGTTATCCAGTAAATGCTACTGTTTCTTCACTATGTGTGATATTTCTAATAAACAGACTAAAATGGAACACTTAGTCATATATTCAGTCTTACTGATAAGTCGTAAATAAGTGGAATCATTGGAAGTCATTCAGGAATGAAGCGGATGCGAATTGATCATTACAGAAATGTATTAATCTGTAGGGTAAAGTATGTTGTGTATGAGGAAGGATTTACATAAATGACATTGGATCGTTGTTGTGTGATGCGAATATGTACTACTGGAACACTAGGCTAACTGATCTCAGTTCACTATGAATTCCACCTTCAAATTGGATGAGAAAATATGTTGTTGGCAGAATAAATCTATAGGCTGACTGATTACTGATGAGCTCTGAGCATCGACTGAATTCGAATAATTAAGTTTACAGTATGATCATCAGGATTTATTACTTGTCGTTTGGGTTCCTAATGGAACACACAGCCTCAGTTGCACACCTCCATTACACTCTCTTCTCTACAACATTCGCAACCTCGCTCCACCACTACCCACAAACTCTCATTTTCTACTCACACCATCTCCTCCATATCAACCTCAGTTGGGACGCCCAACTCGTCGTTTCCCATCGGGGTTCCACTCCATGGCCTGGCCTGACACGTGATATCCTCAGTCGGACTTCTCAGTGTATGCCCAATCCATTCCATCTCCACTCACTTCCACTGCATATTTGTTGAGTGATAGGTTCTTGCTTCGTTGGTTCGTTACCAGCCAGCCAGCCAGCCAGCCAGCCAGCCAGCCAGCCAGCCAGCCAGCCAGCCCCCCCCCCCCCCAGCCAGCCAACCACAGTTCCTTCTTGCTTATTCTCATTATTCTAGCCATCTGATCTGATCTCATCTGATCTTCAGTAACCAGCAAGTGTAGGCAGCAGTTGTTGATGAATGTCAGTTGTTTGTTCGAAATGCCTTTGATAACGCGCCAAATCTCTGAACCATAGACAGGCACTGACTTGATTGAAATGGTGTTGAAAATCCGGATGCTGTTCACATTTCATGCTTAGTGCGGAAGCTGTACTCAAACTCCGTTTCGTACTCCTCGGCACTCATCAGATAGGTGCATTTCTTATCTCTGTAATCAGTTATACTCATTGCATCAGTGAGATGTGTCAATAAGCCTAAAACCACCTCCAGGCTTTATTCTTGAACTTGATCGGTAACTAGCAAAGTTTATAACCAGTCGGTTGCTTTGATCATTCAACTTTGTTTGTTTACAGTCTACTGATTGGTCATTGCAACAAACTTCATTATATTACCGTCAATAGTAGACTAATAACCCTCTAGTGGGTAGTTTTCTCTAACTTGAATGATGAAATTTATACTTGACAAGGATAAATTTTTATAGTCTGGTTGACTTAACTTTATGAGAAGGTTCAGAACTTTCTACTCATTGACTATAGATAATTTTTCTCTGACGATTGCAGATTTCTGCATGTACATATCAGCCTTAGTCATAGTGAACTGTCTTTACATATCTTGAAGTGGTCCCACTGAGATCTAAAGTAGTTCATTAAGCTAGGAGGGTGCGTGTCTATTGGGGATATGGTGGGAAAGGGTAGATCATGTACCTGGTTGATTTCCATTGGCTAAATCAGTTGAACACCAACTGCTTAGATGTGATTGGTTGATTTCTAGGTCAACCCAGTCTAAGGAATGACTAACTAATACGGCTTGATCGATCAATTTCTCTCCATCGATTATTCTGAATAAAGTTAACCAATCACTAAAACGCCGATGATGAGGAGCGAAATATAGAAAAATTGGATATTTTAGACGTAAGCACTGACTCAATTTACAAACTTAGGAACACTTTGAGAGTTTCGTAGGAAGTTACTGATAGCATCAACTGGTATTGTAGTGAGTTTTCGGTTATTATCACGTGATCAGTCAATTGTCTAATATGTGCGGCCGCACTCAGTATCGCTCAAGGTCATTGTGAAGGTCAAACCTATTTCTTGTTTATTCACTCACAGTCACTAATTTTTTTTAAATAAAAAATAAAATAAAATTATTCTACCAACAGTCAATAATCAATGAAACAAGCAAAAATTCAAATTACCTTTTAACTTGATTTTAGAATTAGTCACAGGGAATAAAAATGTTTTTCGTCGTGTTAAATAAATCATTACCATAATAGCAATTAATAAAATGACGAATACAATCACTAAGCAAACAATTGCAACTTCACTAATCACAAAATTATTCGACAAATTGTTGTTATCATGATTCATATAGTTTTCATTATGTTCAGAAGGTTTTAAACTTGATGATTTTCTAAATTTATGTTCAAATAATTGTTGATTATGAAGTGAAGAATATTGATTTCTCACTTGTTCTTCATGTTGACGATGATCAAGAGATGAAGATTTAACATGCCATAGATTTTTATACTTTGAAGCAGTTTGTGAATAATGATTGTTCATATCAATACTATTAGCTGAATTATCATTTTCATGAAAATGTCTATTATTATTATTATTGTTTAAATCAGAAGTGAGATAGCCAGATAGCATAGCTCTTTCACTACGTTCAATAGGTTCAATAGGTTGATTGATCAAATGTAGCGGTTTATTCAACTTATCATGATTACTATTCACTAATGATGGATTTAAATAATTGGTTAAGTGGGATAATTGAATAAGATGTGGGAATTCATTTGGATCAACAACTAATTGTACCCATATCGATGAAGCACAACGTTTTGGTACACCACAATCACATGCTTCAAAACGTAGCATATAAGTGATTGGATTAGCATTGATATTGGATATCTGTTTCATGTTGCATTAGCTGATGACGATTCAATAAATTGATGAGTTGGTGATGAATAGACATTAGGGGATAGAGAAAGAATACCAGTGTCTGAGTTGATAACAAATAGATTATCTGTATTCCCAGCACTGATTTCGTAAATAATTCTACCATTCTCATCAATATCAGCATCTGTAGCCTCAATTTGAAGCAATGGCCTTGATTCACCTATGCCCGATGCTTCACCTATAATGGAAAAACGTGTAAAATAATAAAAAAACTGGTTAACACATTTTAGGTTATTTATTTATGTGATAGGAGGCCCTACATCATCTAGGTACGTTTCGTACTTGTTAGAACTCGTCAGCACGGCTTATCCATAACCTCGGAAGAGAGTAAATCTAGTGTCACACAGTGCTGCAGTCATAAATCCATCCGGGATAAGACTAGCTACCTGTAGGATTGTGTCAGATCCACTGGTTGCCCACTGGAGAGTGACAGTAATTATAACCCTCAAGTGACCGACTAATGAATATATATATATCATCAAGTTATAGGTTGAAAGCACCATATGAACTAACGGACTGTTGATCACTAATCAATATTATATATCCAATCTCCACTTAATGTAGAGGTCTACTGAGTAATATATACTTAATGAAGATGGATTTTTGGGAAAATCGAAAGTCGATACCAAAATAAGCGCAACCGGAAGAAAAGAACTAGAATACACTTAAGAACCTTGTTCACATTTGTACAATAGGCAATGAGCTACACTTTTTGTATGAGAATAAATGATACTATCACCTGGTTATTCGAACTTCTGTAGGCGAAACGGAGTTCAAACCCGTAATTGATTGGTTGAAAGTTGTTGCTCCAAACTCAACCAATCATCAGGTAGAATGGGACAAAAGTTGCGCAAGAAGACTGACAGCTGTATGTATTTTGCCACTTCCATCCCGTTTGGCATAAATTGTAGTATCCTTAGTTTTATCTTCAGTGGGGTAAGACAAATCCTTTTTGTTTGTTTTTTGTATGAATAAAGATTTTAATTTAAGGTTAGTATTTATCAGGACCGTCAGATTTCATGGCGAACGAGTGCTTACTACTGAAAAGTTCTATACTAGGACGAAATAGATGTCCAGTGTTCCCAGGTTTCCAACAGTTTCGCCAAATGATGTCAGTTTATGGTGAATACTACCTCTAAATCCTTTTGTATTAAAGTGTGATAAAGATTACCAAGGACAGATTGTTGTAACTGAGTATACTAGAGGGATTTGGACGTTCATATTGATGGCTAAGTCTTCAATGGACTTAAGCATAGAGTTCCGACGAAGTCATTGCCATAGACTGCTGTTTCTATAATATGGTTATGTACAGAGGATGATATGTTCCCGATAAATACAGGGGTAATATAGTGAAGCTTTATGTATGAAGAAGTTCTAATCCCCGCTTGTGTATTCAATCTAATCTCTAATCTGATTTTAATCCTGAGAGGTGTCAAAATGTAATATTCCTCCTCGATGTTAGTTAATTCGAAGCAGTCAGCAGGAATCTCTAGTCAACCTGGGTTTCATGATACTTGGTACTGGTCAGCAAGTCGTATCTGCAACCTCAACGGAAGTGATGTCCTCTCTGAGGTTCGAACCCACAGCATCTAATGTTGCAGTCAGTGACGTTAACACTGAGCTATTTGGGGTGCAACTGGACTCCTGTAGACCTGGATAAGATATGCTGATTAGTTACTGGAGAGTAGTCAACTTCATGCTGTCTAGTTGTGAGTGTTGAATGAAATCAACCGATCAGTTTACACTATGGTCAACAAGCCAGGAAACCACTATCTTAATCCATTCACCTTATACTATTCTCTTTTCATCTTGCATGTAACAAAATCCTTTGAAAAGTAAATATGTGACTGAATTGTCCAAAATGTATTACGTAACTACATCACACTTCCCAGGTAACCGCCACCTTCTTATTGCATTATGCAAATGGATCAAAAAAACTAACTGTATCAAAATAAATCTGCATTTCGATGTATGGTATAATTGTCATCAATTTCACTTGTCACCGACTGACTGACTGACTGGCCGACTGACTGACTGACTCACTGACTCACTGACTCACTCACTCACTGAGTATAAAAACAGACAATCTATATCTATCTGCATTTGAAGCTAAGATAACTGTTATCCATTAGTGAATCTTTTTCTTTGACTCCTCAATTTTGTCACAATCTTAAAAACGTTAAGATGTGTAGTTGAAGTCACATGGTACTGTATTTCGTTGGTAAAAACACCATAGAACCAACTATGTAACCTTAATTAGCCTTATTTTCGTACAAAATTAATTGTTAATATTTATTGAAAGATGATGGATATGTCAGTAAAACAAAATACTTTTTAGGTTAAAACAGACTTATTTTATTTTGTATCTTATTTAGGAAGTCTTTGTTTCTTCATTGAAATTGACTGGCCTAAATATACTCGTCAATATGTTGGATCGATAAAAATCTACAAATTCAAGTGTAAATCTGAAGCACGACTCATCCAATCTGAATGACTTTCAAGGTCGCTCGAAAAACTGCCGAACAGCCAATCAGGTGTCAATATTTTGACAAGGATAGTAGCTTTTCTTAAAATACAGAAAAGTAATTGGCTATCTCAGCAGTCAGTAGGAGGGTGTTTGAACTCACGGCCCTCTTTATTGATTCTATTTAATTATTTGTCCCTTCAGTTCCTAGTGGAACATAGGGCTTGAGTAACAAGTCGCCATTCTACTCTCTTCTCTACAGTCTTTTGAAGCTGGCTCCACCACAGCCCACAAGCTTTCATTTCTTTCTCTCACGATCTCCTCCATATCACACTCGCACGCCCAACTAGTCGTCAACCATTTGGCTTCCACTCAACAATACGGCCTCGCCTAGCCTGGCACCTGATGTCTCCAAACCGTCCTCTCAGTGTATGCCCAATCCATCTGCACTTCCTTCCGCATATTTGTTGGGCAATGAGTTCTCGGTTGGTTCATTGTCAACCAGCCAGAGTTCCTCCTGGCTCATTCTCATAGTTCTAGCCATCTGATCTCCATCTTCAGCATCGAGTGAGCCTACGCACCAGCAGTTCATGTGATATATGTCTGCAGTTTGTTGGAAAAGCTTTTCGTAACACGCCAAGTCGCTCAACCGTCACATAGAAGCAGTGACTGACTTGACTGAATTAGTGTTGAAAATGCGGATCTTGTTCATGCTTTATGCTGAGTGCAGTGCAGTGCAGTGCAGTAGATCTCCACACTGAGTATTTCAGAGGCCAAGCAGCCTATTTCGGTCGTAATTTTGAATTCAGAGCATGTTTTAGTCTCTCCTGGATGATGTGGCTTAATATTTTGCTTGGGGTAGACGAAACCATGATTCCCCACAATTCTTTCAAAGGCTTAGGTCTCCCTTCTTCCAGTCAGCTGGCAGATACCTACCCTTCCTTCCTTTCAAACCTTCTGCAGTAGTGGTGTGAGCATGTCCGCTGTTGTCTCTTCGTCTGTTTTCAGTGCTAACGTTCACGAATTCTCCTCTTGTCGGAAGGCTTGTGTCCACTGGTGATTCTGTGGCTGGGCTGCTAGTGGTGTTTCTGAACGAGTTGCAGGTGGTGGTTGCTTCGAGAGCTTTTTGAAGTGGTCAGCCCATTGTTTCCTTTGTTTCTCCTCTATGGTAACTAGCTTTCCTTCACTATCTTTCATTCCTTTCATCTGTGTTGATCTCTTCTCAGATAGTAGTAGTAGTAGTAGTAGTAGTCTGGTTATTTGATATAATGTTGTCAGGTTTCTGTCTCTCCTACCTGCAGCCTGTTCTGCTTCACTTGTAAGCGTGTCATAGAAGTGTCTTTTTTCTTTGCGCACACTCAGTTCCTCTTTTCTTTGTTCATCCCTGCACTGCACTGCACTGCACTGGTTCATCTTCTGCTTCACCATCTTCCTCCCCCTCCTCTATCAGCTTCCATGTGTCTGTCGAGATCCATTCCTTGTCTTGCCGCTTTATCTTCCTTCCTAGCACGGTTATGCAGGTTTCTTTCCACATCCCTTTCAAAGAGTTCCAGTGTTCCTCCACACAGGTTTCTTCAGTTATGTTGCTCAATGTCTCACACTTTCTTCTAATGGCTGACGCGAAGATGTCGTTTTCAGTTTCATCTTCAGTTCAGTTTCTGTTGTGGGTGTTGAACTTGAACTGTGGTCTCTCACCAACTTCCTTGAACACTTTCAACTTGATTTTAAATATAGGTTCATTGTACTAGATAATGAGTGATGTGAACCTACATCTGCTCCTCTTCTTGATCTGATCTTGTATCCAGTAGGCTGACTGCGTCTCCACTTTCTTCAGATTGGAATGAAGTCGATCTGATTTCTAGTGTAGTTTGTCCATCTGGTGAAATCAAATCCATGTCACTTTGTGAATATCCTTGTGTTTGTACACAATGCCTGACTCCAACCACCAAGTCGTTGAATGCTCAAAAATCTGCAAACAGTTCTCCATTCTCATTCATTTCACCAAGTTTTTCTCCACCCATCATGTGTTCTCTTCCTATGTTGTCCGCTCCTAGTTTGGCATTCATGTCGCCCATTAGAATTTTGATGTCATCTACTAAAGTCTTGTCCAATAATGGTTGCAGTTATCTGTAGAATTCTTCCTTTTTCTCTTCATCTGCATTATTTGTGGGTGCATGGCGTAGCGTAGCATTGTATGACTGTGACTTCCCTTGCTTCTGATTTGAATCTTGCTGTTATGATCCTGGAGGAGATTAGTTCCCACTGCATGCAAGACAGTATTCAGTGCTCTTGGAGACACCATGACAGCCCCTCTCTCAGTGTGCTCATGGTTGTCATCTGGGTAGAATATCGGAGTAGATTATTGACTCTCCAGTTGACAGTTTAGAGAGTCCCCTTTCATTCCATCTGCTGATTCCTTTCAGGTTCCTAGTACTTCTATGCCATACCTTCTCATCTCGTTTGCAATCTAAGCAGCCTCGCTAGGTCCATACATGGTGCAGACATTCCATGTTCCCATTGTTTCATAGAGAGAAGATACATTAGCTTATTGGCTTGTCGAAGGCTTTCATCAACTGGTGTCATTTCCTCTCTCCGATTCCAGCGAGGAATAAGTGTATTTTAATTTTTTAAATTTTTTTTGTGCTTTAAAGTTTCTTTAGCAATCGGATATGTTTTCCATGATAGGGTTGTTAGCCCTATGCCCAATTTTCCCTCTTTATCTGGGCTTAGGACTGGCTAGTACCTATTGAACTAGTTAACTAGGCGAGGTGCTGTATTGATTTTGCCCTACGATAACTAGCTAATTAATGATAAAGGTAATTCTGTTGTATGATGACTTCGTTTGAACATAGATTTGACACAGTGAAACTGTGCTTACAAGGAAATTAACGACGTATAGGCGTTAGCTATGAGACTGCCAGTATCGATTCTTATAACTACTCACTTCCTAAAAGGTATCTTATTCTATTCTGTACTACAAAGCATTTTGGTCGATAAATCAGCGATAGAAAATTCGTTTCACTGATTCAGATAATCTACAGTTGCCATTCGTATCAAATTGACACATCCAGAGTTTTGGTCAATTTGAGCATATTTGTAGCTGGATTTCATAATTCAAAAAAGAGGCATTTGACCAATTATTATTATTATTATTGTCATATTTTTCCCTTGGGTTCCTAATGGAACATACAGCCTCAGTTGCACACCTCCATTACACTCTCTTCTCTACAACATTCGCAACCTGGCGCCACGACTGCCAACAACCTTTCATTTCTTCATCACATGATATCATCCATGTCATTCTCGGCTAGCGTGTCCACCTCATCGATTCCCATCGTAGTTCCACTCGGTGGCCTGGCCTGACACGTGATATCCTCAGTCGGCCTTCTATGTGTATGCCCAATCCATTCCATCTCCACTGACTTCCACTGCGTATTTGTTGAGTGATAGGTTCTTGGTTGGTCCGTTGCCAGAGTTCGTTGTTGCTAATTCCTAATATTCTAGTCATCTTATCTTTAGTATCGAGTGACCGTAGGTGGCAGCTGTTGACGATGTATGCCTGTAGTTTGTTGCAAGTGCTTTTCGTGACGCGCCAAGACTTTCAACAATCACATAGAAGCCTATCTTGCTCTATTTCCCTTTCTGGCTATGACGTCCTCATCTGTGCCTGTGCCGCCTGTAGTTGAAACGATGCCGCCTAGGTAGGGAGGTAGGTGAAAGAGAAGACTTCCTTGAAGATTCTCCCGTTCATGGTGATTGGTGCTTGTTGTCTTCTCTACATTAACCTGAAGTCCAGTTTTCGCTGACACTTGATCCATGGTGACGTTTGTTCTGTTAACATGCCATATTGGAAAGAAATCTGAAGAATTCCTAATAAGCGCACTTTAAATCTCCAACAATAAACAAAATCGTTCTCTATTTACGTAAATAACTATTCATAGTACTTAAAAATCATTTAAGTAATATTTAGATAGTAAGAATATCTCAATTCATGCGCGGATCAAATTGCAACGCAACGCTACGCATCATCATAGAACAAAGCATAGAATGACAGTCAACTCAACTCTACCTCAACTTCATCCACTTTGAAAAGGCCTTCAACAGCGTCGACAGACAAGTAATTTGGAAACTGCTTCAACACTATGGCTTTAGTGCCACAAACCTTCATCTATTTCACTCAGCACCTATATGAAGACACCACATGCCAAGTATTTTACAATGGGAGGCTCAGTGATGCCTTTGAAGTGAATATAGGAAGGAGTAAGATAAGGCTGTGTATTATCACGGATGATATTGCTGATTGTAGTGGACTGGATCATGCAGTAGACAACAGTAAGGAGCGAGAAGAGGGGGATACACTGAAGTGATGAAAAGAACCTAGAAGATTTGGATTTCACCGATGATGACTTGTGTATAATGTCTTGTGGCACAAACTGGAAGATCCACAGGCGAAAACTAACAAACTGACAGAAGAGGCTAGGTAGGGAAGCGATGACGGGACTTCTTTCAGGTGAATGTAGAGAAGACAGAGGTGACGAAGATACCCAACCAACACCACCACCACCAACAACAACAACATAAAGCTCCAATCACCATCAATGGGAGAAATTTCAATGAAGTAGTCTCTCTCAAATATCTAGGTAGCATTGTTCTAACTACAAGTGGAGTGGAAGAGGAAGTCAAAGCCAGCCAGGATTGGAAAGACAGCGGGACAGGTGTTCATTAACCTGAAATCAGTGTGGCAATCTTCTGCACTCCACTCAGCATAAAACGTGAACAACATCCGCATTTTCAACACCATTTCAATCAAGTCAGTGCTTCTATGTGGTTGAGAGATTTGGAGCGTTACCAAAGGCATTTCCAACAAACAACTGATATTCATCAACAACTGCTGCCTACACTGGCTGGTTACTGAAGATCAGATCAGATCAGATCAGATGAGATCAGATCAGATGGCCAGAATAATGAGAATAAGCAAGAAGGAACTGTGGTTGGCTGGCTGGCTGGCTGGCTGGTGACGAATCAACGAAGCAGGAACCTATCACTCAACGAAGTGAGTGGAGATGGAATTGATTGTGCATACACTGAGAAGTCTGACTGAGGATATCACGTGTCAGGCCAGGCCATGGAGTGGAACCCCGATGGGAAGGTGTGCTACTGAATCTGTATGTTCCATTAGGAACTCAAGGGATAAACAATAATAATATTTAAACAAGATAAGAAAAAGGAAAGTAGATTGAATTACCTTCAGTTTTAGTGAAATCAATATTTTTCTCCCTTCTATGCACTAATACAACTGGTATATTCATTTTATTATTATGATTAATTTGTGCATTTGATAATTTCATCATTTCACTATTATCTGGATTGATTTCTTTCAATCTTTTCTTTTTATTACCATCCTCTGGGTTATAAGAGGTGGGCCAATTAATTTTTATATTGTTATCATGATTATTTTGTTGTTTGCCTATCATATTGATTTCTTTCTCATAATTGATCATAGGCTGTTGAATATCATTGATAAATTGATTATTTTGAAGAAAGTGTAAATTTGTTTGAGGCAGCACTGCCGATGATGATGATGATGATGATGAAAATGTTCCAGTTGACGGTGACGATATCGTAGTAGTAGGTCTGATGAAAACAGGATCATTATCATTCTCATCCTTGAATTCATTGAGAGGGAGAAAAATGAACACATTTAGCCCCAGTTATGAATTTATTGAATATAGATATAGTTTTACTGAAAAATATCATATTCATGATGTAACTGGGATATTTGACAAGCGAAAAAGTGTGACATGTTTACTGCAAAGACTTAACACAATACAAATAATATATATATATATATATATATATATGCTTAATATGTAGAGAAGAGAAAGACAACCTTTTGACGTTCTTGAAGTTACGCTTGAGTCATATGAAAGACGGTTCAATGAAACGGTTGATATACAGGTCAGTATTTAAATTCTCCTGGCTTTTTTTCTAAATCAGTACAAGTAAGATTTGGCAATGTGTCTATTCTAAAGGATCCAGCGTTTTTCTACGGAAGACGTAATGGATAGTAACATGAAAATACTAACTGGAACATTAGGAAAAAAATGAATATCTGTTGAAATTTACAAAGCGATGCTTAATTTTATAATGAAGGTTAAGATGCGCCCTTATCAAAACATACTATGCAGCTAGGCTTATCGTGGTTGAAAAAATCAAATACATTTTGAAACACTATCTTCATAACTGTATAGATGATTAGGTCACATCCCACTGTGTGTACCAGCTTCCATGTATGTGAGTGTATTGGCGTATATACACAGAGAAGACCTACTGAGATGTCCATATAAGGAAGGTGGACCATGAACCAAAATGGTTACAAAACCAGCTGAATTATCAAACATCGATAAGTGCAGGTGGCAGACAGCCATCAACCCTCATTCACTGTGAAACACATTACTGATAAGGATCACAGGATTATTATTAAAATAATCTTTAAAATTGTGAATCAAAACTCTCAGGAGCACGTACTCAGGCTAGCTGTAAACAAATTTAAGGCCCCATTGTGTGTTCAAAAATAGTCCGTTCTTTTCTTACACCTACCCTGATAATGTTTCTCTTATCATATTACCAATACTAATACTACTAATAATAATGACTGTATTCTTCATCACACAGCAAACAAGCTAAATAAGGTATTACAGAGTTTTAATACTTCGTAGTACGTGCATAAACTCTTTTGTACTCACTTCTTGTCCTTCCAGATGACTAACATGCACATAGATTTGAGTGAAGAGGATGCTGGTCATCGGATAAAATAACTCCTCACACATGTTTACATGAGTTACCAGGCTTGGCCACCACTGTTTTAACTGCAACGTTTACAACAGGTACACCAACACTAGTCTTAATGACAATCATCCCGCAAAGCTCTATGCAGTATAGCATAGTCAGTTTTCAGCAACCAAAGAAAAAATAAACAGGAACAATACAGGAGAATAGGCAAGATGCAGGAGTTTAAAAAAAAAAAAAGGAGAGACTAAGTTACATCATATACTCTCAGATTCCTAACATACTTAGTCAGGATTAAGTAAAGATTCGTTCGGAAATTAGTAGGATATGAGAGGACCAGGAAGGGGCTACACAGAAATACACACTGAGATAAACGACACAGTTGTAACATTCTGCAATACACAAGCATCAATAGAAAAGGAATGATGAGAAGTGAGCAGCTTACATTGGTTATGCTCACGTGTGAAACTAAAGTTTATGGTCTGACATTTTGAGGGATTAAGTATTAGACCATTGATGGAGGACCATTGTCTAACAGTAGATAGGAAATCATTCAGTTATGAACAATTTACTCATTAGAGCTTCCTGATATCCATCTGGAAGCAAGTCACTAATGAGCACTATACATTAATGCATTTTTGAGGTTAATGGAGATTTTTAACTTAGAAATAGTATTCATCATGGACTGACATCAGTTTGCCGTGAAACCTGAAGGTCCTGGGTTTGATACCTAGCCGGGTTGTGGGTGCATACTGCAGAGGAGTCCCATACTAGGACGAAACAGCTGCTGTCCATTGCTCCCAGATTTTCACTGGTTCCCCAACTGATATCAGTACATGATGAATACTACTTGTAAGATTTATCTGTTTTCGTTAAACAAAGGCAGGCTCCTTACAATACAGAAAATGAAAATTTAAATTTCGCGCCATATTTTCATTAAATAGAGATGATAGATTTAAACAAAGCAACATGATAAACTAGCCTATTATTGTAGAACACCTGGATAATTTAGTCTCTAAAGTTTTTGAGAAATCTTTCTGATTTCAGAAAAAATACCTGGCATAGTTTGACAAAAAATTCATAAAAAAAAATTTTTTTCGAAGTCTAACAGTAGTTCAATCTTCTATTCTTGTAGATGATTACTGCTGATGAATCCTGAAGTGAGATGAAATCTGAATCCTTTTTCTCTTGAAGCGGTGAAAACTGTGGAGAGTGAACTGTTCAAAAGTAAACACGCTTCACTGGATCGACTCCTTTCTTTAACTCTTAGGTTGTCATACAGCTTCAGTTAAAATACGAATACTCTAGATACCAAGCAGTATATACTTTCCTGACTAATGGTATGCAGATGGTTGAGAGTGAGCCTTAGAATCTGTCTGTATCGTACATATTTATTTGTCTCCATGTGGCAGGTTTCTTGTTTATTTCACCCAAAAAGACCGGTATCTATTAAGCTTTAAGAAGAAAGATTTAAGTACTGTCGTAAATTTTTATCCTTCTTGTTAACAATTTGAATTTCGCCGATGATGATTTATGTCTAACTTGAAGATCTACAGGCGACAACTGACCAGTTGGCAGAAGAGGTTAGGTGAGGCAGCGAAGGAAGAGGTGACTTCCTTCAGGTGATCGTAGAGAAGACAGAGGTGATGAAGATACCCAACCAACTACAACAACAAGCACCAATCACCATGAACGGGAGAAATATGAAGGAGGTTGTCTCTTTCACCTACCTACCTCCCTACCTAAGCAGCATCATTTCAACTACAGGCTGCCCCTGCACAAATCTGGATATCATGCCTAGTATCGGAAAGACAGCAAGATTGGCCTTCATTAATCTGAAATAATCAGTGTGGAGATCTACTGCACTGAACTCAGCATAAAGTGTGAACAGCATCCGGATTTTCAACATTATTGTCAGTCACGTCAGTAATTCTATGTGATGGTTGAGAGACTTGGCGTGTTACGTAAAGCATTTCCAACAAACTGTAGATATACATCATCAACAGTTGCCGCCTACGCTCACTCGATACTTTAGATCGATGAAATGGCCAGGATAATAAGAATAAGCAAGGCAGAACTCCGGCTGGCTGGCAACGAACCAACCAAGAACCCATCGCCCAACAAATATACTGTAGAAGAAATTGGAGATTGATTGTAGTGGACATAACTTGAGAGGACGGTTTAGGGACATCAAGCGTCAGGCCAAACCAGACCAGGTTGTCGAGTGGAAGCCAAATGGGGAACGATGAGTTGGGCGTCCTAGACGAGGGTGACATGACGGAAATGGTGTGAGGAAGGAATGAAAGCTCCTGGGCAGATATATGGCTAGGTTGAGAAGACTGCAGAGAAGAGAGTGGAATGGCGACATGCTACTGAAGCCATATGTTCCACTAGGAACCTAAGGGACAAATAATATAATAATTATGATAACAGTGAAACCGGCGATGGAATTTTCAGTCAGTCTGTTTATGGATTGTCAGATGGATTTGCCTTTATTACACCGTTGGCATATCGACTTGTACTTCAACCAAACACGAAACGCTCTTACCTCAAAAACGTTTTTCAAATAAACTATTTGACCACTGGATTCATAGGTAGCAATTTTGTTGTCGCACTGTATGCTCTTTGTGATGTTTAACAGGTTTGGATCGGTTTACCTGTGGTAGAAGACCAACCCTAACCTGAAGGGAATATTGATTCTGAAGTTAATTGGTTAGTGGTGGTTAGCAGTAGAACCTGAGTTGAGTGTTTAGTCCTACTTAGGACTCATTAGCTGAATTCACGTGGTCCTAGTGAATGACGTTGTTCCCACAAAGATTCGAACTCAGCATCACCAATCACCTTTAATTCCCCGTTGTTTTAAGATGTCACTAAACAACGACTGATACCTGTTGCACAAGTGATGACTGTCGTTCCTCAATTGCTTGGCGTATAACCTTCTTAACGTCTGAAGCAATGAGTACTAGGGTACGGGTGTATCCAAATGACCAGTGAGTCAGAAGGAGGACGAAACACGGGTCCTGGATTCCACTGATAGTCACCGGGTAGACTACAATTTAGAGAACGATAAGATTTGAAGATAACTTTGGAGATCCTAATCAATTTGCAAATAAAAGCAGTTGAAGCACGTTTGATGCCACCATCGTGTTACATCACAATATTACTTGTAATCCTAATAGTAATGCCAGGTATATCAGGTGTGCCTTTTTAGACTATACTTCAGCATTCGGTTCTGTTCCAAGACCTCTTTTGTTGGACAAGCTACATGGGACCAAAACTGAGTCTTAGGTAATCAGCTGACAGCATTCCCATTTCTCTGGAAGCAAGAAGCATATAGTTTACAGAGGGAAGTGCTCCACTTCATTGATTACTGTGACTGGTGTTCCTCGTGGTGTTGTCCTTTCCCCTGGTCTTTTCCCTTTCTTCCTTTCCAAATAATTTGACATTTTCAACTAGTATCGGTTTCATCAAATATGCTGATGACCTGAGAATTTCCACACTTATCTCCTCTTCAGTAAATTGTTCATAACTGAATGATTTCCTATCTACTGTTAGACGATGGTCCTCCATCAATGGTCTTGTACTGAATCCCTCAAAATGTCAGACCATAAACTTTAGTCTCACACGTGAGCATAACCAATGTAAGCTGCTCACTTCTCATCATTCCTTTTCTATTGATGCTTGTGTATTGCAGAATGTTACAACTGTGTCGTTTATCTCAGTGTGTATTTCTGTGTAGCCCCTTCCTGGTCCTCTCATATCCTACTAATTTCCGAACGAATCTTTACTTAATCCTGACTAAGTATGTTAGGAATCTGAGAGTATGTGATGTAACTCAGTTTCTCCTTTTATGTTTTTTAAGCTCTTGCATCTTGCCTATTCTCCCGTATTGTTCCTGTTTATTTTTTCTTTGGTTGCTGAAAACTGACTATGCTATACTGCATAGAGCTTTGCGGGATGATTGTCATTAAGACTAGTGTTGGTGTATCTGTTGTAAACGTTGCAGTTAAAACAGTGGTGGCCAAGCATGGTAACTCATGTAAACATGTGTGAGGAGTTATTTTATCCGATGACCAACATCCTCTTCATTCAAACCTCTCTCTGTCAACCTTCAGGCAATACCGGGAACAAGGATATAGGAGAAAATATAAAAACTCTACAATACCGTACGTATTTAGGTCATCTCCTGTGCGTGGAGGAAGTTGTTAGAAATGAACTCACCTATCAACTTCTGTTTTTAAAAGCAAACTAGTCAATCAGTGCACAGCTTGGTGTTATATATATATTACGAATCTAATTACTAATGTGATTATAGATGGGGTAAATATTCTTATCCTTTATAAATATGATTTCTAAATTGTCTCTGTCAAATTGATTCTATATGACAAGCTGGAAATTTCTTACTGTGTTCCTAAAATATCTTTTGTAAAACAGCTATTATTACTACTATAAATTAAAAGAATACATAACCACCAACACAGGTCTCACGATGATGAAGACCACCTGAATAATTGAGATGAGATGGCTGAAAGAACATTGAGCCACAAGTCATTAATGTATTTAAAACAACTAGTGAGAATATTCGCAGCTCAGGAGGATTATTTTGACGGTGTTGTGTTCTCTGACGTGCACGATTTAATCGTGAAACTTTCATTGTCATTCTAGACAATATCATCATAAGCACAAACTTAATACAAGAAGTGAGGTGTGAGATTTTCTTTACGATCTATTTAGTAGTTTGTTCTGTTGACCTTGTGCGTCATTGGTTGTTTTTCAAAAGTCATGTCATTGTGTCTATAATTATTTCTATTGGTTGGGATGTCGACGTGAACTTGGACTTACTTGTTTCTTGTTGGTTGATAGATTATGTCAGTGTCAGTATGTCTACTGATTGCTAACTGACCTGAATACTAAAAATTCGCTGGCATTTCCTTTGTCCATCCAGGATTCCCATATTTTCCCATACGAAATCATGACAACGCATACGAAACGGGCGACCACATCATGAACATCTACTAGCAGTGAAGCATCATGACATATCTTCACTCCAATATCGATACTCGTAGGCAACTGTAGGAAAATGTGGAAATCCTGAATAGGTAGAGAAAATACAAAGAATGTTTAGAAGCCTGGCATTCAGGTTAATGAGTTATCAACAGACCTACTGACGCTGACTTAATCTATCAACTAATAAAAGAAGGTTGAAGTTCACATTGACAAGACAACCAGTTATAATATGTAGAGAGGCAATGATGAGATTTTGGTTGAGGCAATCAATCACACCCAAGGTCATGAGGACAAGCTGCTAAACCACTAGCAGAGAAAATTTCATAGCTCGCTTTTTTGTGGATTTTGTGTTTTTGATAATGTTGTCTAGAATGACAATGAAAGCTTCGCGACGAAACCATCCAGTTCAGAGGAATCAACGCCATCAAAATAAAACAACCACTTATCCAAGTTCATTCAACTTCTCTCATATTGAAAAAACGAATTGCATTTTCAAAATGCGAATGGTAATCACAAGAAATGAAAGTCTATGGACTCATAAAATTCCCGCAGTTTTGACAAAGGGCAACAATACTCAATTAGGTTATCAGGGATTTCCACACTGTTCTAGTTAGTAGTTATACTAGACCCTGGTCTATAGCAAAGTCACCAACCCAACCAGATTAGTTTGAGTTATACGGATACATTTGGAAACTATCAGTCCATCTGTTGTATCCGTACTCATTAGTGATGAGAGTAACAGCCAATCAGTCATGAATATCTTTAGCGTGTTTATGTTTCGTTTTTAAATGTTGACTTGCTAGTTAGGCTCCCACGCTTTTAAGGCCTTGTACATTTCCCTTATATTTCACTAAATACAGCATAATTATCCACTGTGTATGTTAGCAGTCGGCTCTCTTCTCTCTAGAAGTCAGCTAATGTGACGTCGATGGTAGTAGAACCAACCAGTAACACCGGTCAAATTGTCAACACAGAGACAACAGTTAATCAGGATCAACGTGGAACTTGGCATCACTCCATAATGGCCCTGTACATCAAGCTGGAAATAAGGAGTAAAGTAGTCAGAGTGTTAGGAGACCATGAAAATAGAACAAAAAGGACTATAGGGATACTGATATTTAGTTAAACGATTGGGGTGGAGATAATATGTGGATGCATGTACGCCATGTTGCCAAGAGTCTGCAACCACTGGTTTCTGTTATCACGTGGACTGTAAGCGTGACGTCTACGTTTCCGTACATGGCTCAAACTAACTGCGAAAGACTTTATGGAGTGATGGTCTAGCCGCTTCTAATCTTCTTCCTGTCTGAAGCTACTAGAGCTAATACTGTGCAACGAGAGAGATGGTAAGATGGCATGTGTGATATATTTCCAACCCCCTTGAGTAGATGAGGGCTCATCACCTCATCACCTGACTTTTACATTTCTGAGTTGATAGTTCCTTGACACAAGCCCAAAGGCAACAGTATCCAGACACCTGAAGCGTCCCTATATTCTCTACCTGAAATGATCATGCTTGAAAATGGAACAGTAGAAGACATTCAACACAGTATACTCAACCCTTACCAGACAATCAGACACCACAAACGTGCCACAGATGGAGTAAGTTGCTGAAAGATAAGTCACTCTTTCGTCTCATGCAGAGAAATCGTCGGTCATTGACCCGCCAGGGTTGTTCCGGCTTCATTCTTCATTGTTAAACAAGAAACAAAAGGAGACTAAAAACATTCTAAAACTGCTACTCAAAATATTCTGTATCTTGTCAACGAAACTATATCATCTGGAAGTAACAATTTCAAAGTCAAATCAACCACACTTACCTCCACGACTACAGTCACTGTGGCTGTTGATGTCTTTGATGTCAAAATTGATGGATTCCCATCATAAGCAATTACATTGAATACATAATTATTTTGTTTTTCACGATCCAATGAAATTGATGTTCTTAAATAACCTTGAGTAGCGTGTAAATTAAATGTTCGACGTATTTCAATTGGTGAATCATTTGCTATTTTTAATGTAATATATGATGATGATGATGATGATGATGAAGTGAATGAAGATTTCGACGATGTAGAAGATGATGAAGACAGTTTTTTTAACAAATTATGAGTCATAGTTTTACTTTCTACATCTAAATCAATCGCTATTATACGTCCAATTAACCAATAAGCTGGTCTATTCTCTTTTACATAAAAAATATAATTTGTTACAAAATTCAATTCATTTTCAAGGATAGAGGTAATATTTACATTTTTATGAACATTACCAATATTATTACTACTGATTAAACTACTAACAGTATTATCAGTAGTATCTGTAATATTGTCAATTGAATAATTTGTTTGAATAAATAATGGTGGCCAATCATTTACATCAGTTATTTTAATTTCAATTGTAGCTGTTCCTGTATGTCGAATAGATGTGAATTGATTAGGTTGATCTAATGCATAAACATTAAAACGAAATAGATCAACATTTTCTACATCAAATTTTTTTAATGCATATAATATACCAGTTTGTGAATCAATACGAAAAAGTTGATCAACTTTAATCATTTCACGATTATGATAAATGAAAATATTTTCATCATTTAAAACAGTTTGTTTATTTGTTGTTAATAGATAAGCAGAGGATAGAATTGAACTATCTGATGGTTTTATCTCTAAAAAATATTCATCTAAATAATATTCTATACGTGCATTTTCACCTTGATCATTATCTTCTGCCATTACACGACCAATAAGATATTCATAATGATCATTATATTCTTTAGCTTGTTTTATACTTTTATTTGAAGATGATTCATTCTTCATCTCATATATATTTCTCATTTTATTATTTTGTTGATAATATCCTTCATTATTGATTATTTTCACTTCTTTATCACTATTCTCTGGTAGATTAAATCGATAAATTGATTTTTGAAATTTTGGCTGTTCATCATTCATATCAAGAACACGTATACGAATAATTTGTTCATTGAAATTTAATCCTTGATCTGTACACTTTATACGAAGATAATATAAAGGATTTTGTTCACGATCTGGTTTTGTAATTAAATTTAATATATAATCATTTTTTAATTGTAAAGATATTGAAGATGTAAGAGAAGATTGAAGTTGTAAACGATTATTAATTTCATGAATAGGATTATTATGATTATATTGTTCTGCGGAATGAATAGATTTTAAAGAGAAATTTATTGTATCTGTTAATGTACACATGACTTCATCATTTCCATTGAAATCAGGATCTCTAACTTGTACATAGGCTAATTGAATTGGTGGTTGAACATTTTCTTTAACTAAACCTATAATAATGATAGAAAAGTATGATTACCAGTTCATTTTATTGATATGGTTATATACTACTGAGATAATCATGCCTTTAAGTAGTATCAGGCTGCTGAAATATACTGAGTGTGAAAAAATTCATTTCAGGAGAACAAAAAGTAACAAACTCACCTCTAATTTTATTTCTCTGGCTAAGTACTACTTAAATCAGCAGTAGAATTAAAAATTTTGGAGTTTTGTAGTTTCCTAATGGTTAGCAGGGGGAATACAAGACTCCCCCCCCCAACTGAGACTTAAACAAATTACTGCAGAAGTAACATGAGTCTTGGATTCAACTGCTAGCCACCAACCAGACTACAACATAATGATCAACCGGGAAGTATCAAAGCTTTTACAAAAGACCCGACCTACCACCTACAATGAATGCACAGCTTTCTTCGATCCCATGGAAATTAGTGTTTTTTGTTGATCCCATAGAAGCTTCTTGGTTCAGAGTTTCACATGATGGTCCCCTAAGAGGCTAATCCGTTCCTTTTTATGGAAACTCACTTGACTGTGTGAACTAAGCCATATCCAGAGAATGGACAAGCAGCCGACTGGATTCAAAGCATTCCAGTGACAGAGTTAGTATCCAAGCCGTAGGTTACCAATACGATCTATTTTAGCACAAATATGAAGTTCTCATTCTGACATCTTGAGAACCGTCTGATCACGATAACATATATCATATGTCCTGCGATATGATATTATACGTGTTGGGCTTGAGTTCTGGTAGGAACATCACTATTCACTGGGGTCCAGGCACTTCCGACTGATGAGTTCCATATTTGACGAAACGCGTTTCCTGAATTCCACAAAGTAACTATAAAACTTTTTTGACGTCAAGTAAACTCTTTGTAAACCTTTAGTGAACAGGAATCCAGCTCACAGAACACTCAATTTCTGGCTTTCAAGACTAGAAATGGAGAGGAGTTTCTTTCGGGTTAAAATCCATCGGATGTGATGAATTTCCGACAGAAAGATACCACTGTTTGCCAGAAAGAAGCAAAAGATTTACTTAATCGTACCAACTGACTATCCTCTGAAGTTATATAACTTTGAAGAAAAGGAAAGTATATGACTTTTGTGAATTAAATTTCGACAGGATAAGACTTCCTTCTTCTATGCTCTTTTAATGGTTATTAAGATTACTATATACACTGCTCATCACCTGTATTCATTCGTGAATATCATTGATAAGGATGGAAATTGAGTACAGTGATCATGTCTTCAATCAACCAATCACAAATTTACTCATATAAACATGCAATCGATAACCTTCAGTCAACCAATCAAAATTGCATAAAGTGAATCATGTGACGACTATATGAATCATCCCTATAATATTACGTTGATTGGTTTATAGATGAGTGCATAAATTTTACCTGTTTCACCATGATTAGTCATTTCTGATGAAGCGAGGAATTTCACTGTAATCATAGGTATTTCATCATTTTCATCAATCACAGGGATAATTACCGTAGCAGTACTAGTACGTTCATATGGTTGAGGTGCAGAATCAATGGCTTTCACCTGAAATATAAATTGTTTCTTGGAATTTTGATTGATATTATTGTCATTATTATTATTATTGATTAGATTAAATGGTGCAGTTGTTGATGTATCTGACACCAATGAATTCAACATTAATTGATTTTCCATTGAATTTATTTCCATAGTTTCATAATCTAGCCATCGTTTCAATACAATAGTACCATCTATTTGTACATTGAAGTAATTCATAGCTAATGTACCTGGAATCATAAAATATCGAATTTGATTATTTACTGATGAAGCATCTTTATCAGTAGCTGATAAATTCAATATAATTGTACCAGGTATTGTCTTCTCTGAGATAGCACCATGAAATGGATAGATTATAGATTGATTAAAAATAGGTGAATGATCATTTACATCGATTATATGAACTTTTATTAAAGCAGTACCAGTTCTTTGAGGTAAACCAGAATCTGTAGCTAGTAAATAAAATTCATAGAATTGTTTTTCTTCATAATCTAAATTCACTGTTGAAATCAATTTTAAATCTCCATTAGGCTTATCTTCTAGAATAAATGGAATAAACTGATCATTAGCATTATTATTATTATTATTATCGATAAAATTAATTGATTTTTTATTGATTGATTGTAAATGATAGGTAAGTTGACTATTAACTCCTTCATCAGGATCATAAGCACGTGGTAAATTACTACTACGTAATAATGATTGTTCTTTCTGTTGATATTGTTGTATATCAGGATAAATTCCTGAAGTAGGAATCATTTTGACCTGATCATTTGATACTTCTGATAATTGTATAACAATAGTTGGTAAATTGATCATATAACTATTATTATTATTATTATTTGGATAATTTATACCATTATTAATTGATATCCATGTTGGACTATTATCATTAATATCAATAATCAATAAATCAATAGGTATCTTTTTGATATCAACTTGATTTTGTTCTAATAATTGTGTTGTTGACAAGATATACAATGTTTTAATACATCTTTTGTTTAAATTATTTGATAATATATGCATAGGATTTGAAAAATAGCCTAAATTAGTTAAGTATTTAGTAGTAGTAGTAGAAGTAGTATCGAATGTATTCTGTAAAAATATTGGTGGTCTACCGTTGATTGGAAACCTTGAACTACTACTACTACTACTACCTACAGGTAGTATATTATTATTATTATTATTATTATTACAAATTGATTCACGATCAATACGTTTTCTGATTATTAATTTACCAGTTATTGATTCTAAATCTAATGCATTTGTTAATGGATCATGTATATCAAGTAATTGAAAATTAAATTGAAATTTATTTAAATCATGTAATTGATTATAATTTATATTTTCATTAAATAAAAATTGTAAATTATAAAGAATATATTGATGTAAATATTTTGATACACCGATAATTTCTGTTCCATTTGGTGATTCTTCAATTAAACGAAATAGATTAGATGAATCATGTTGTATTGATGTAACATCACTATGATTATGATTAATGTCTTGATTAGATTTATGAACAATTGGATAAATTGAATGTGTACAATACAAGAAATTCTGTAAATGGATATAATAATAAAATAATAATTGAATCAATAATTGTAGTTTTTCAAAACTTGTCAACATTTTTTCGACTAATTTTTTGCTGTATGATATCTACAAACAGAAATAGACAATAAATCTCATCAATGTTTCTTTTAATTGTGTACTAGGTAATAAATATATATATATATATTTTAAGAATTTTACAGTAATGATAAGCAGTGATTACTACTGGAAACCTAAACAAATGTTTCGTCCCATTTAAGACTCATCAGCTGAATGTACCTGCCTCTTATGACGAGAATATAATCCAAGCTACTATTGTAGAATGTTTAGGATGCATTTCTAATCATCCAAATGCAAATTATTGTTCCATGATTGATTTTCAATGATACCTTGGCTAACAATAGAGAGTGTAGTGATTGAGTGTGTTGATCACTTCACTTAACTGGAAAAAGGATCAGCCCTAGTGGCTAGCTCAGTGGCCGATGAAATCTCTCCATGAATACAAAAGGTTTGATTGGCTTTTGTCAAATTGCACTGCCTGTAGTGATGCCATGATATCTGATTGTCTATTAAGGGTCAGGTGTACTGCACAGTAGTCCGGTCTGTTCTACTGTATGGTTGTGAAACATGACCATTGAAGGTGGAATTAATGACCTTCGTGTCACATAGCCAGAGTGTTAAACATCCTGTCACTGAGTTAGAGATTACTGGTACAAGATTTCCTACTTAAGTTGACTGGTGATATACGGTGAGTATTCTCGACGGTCCTCAGTTAGCATCCACTTCACTTCCGACTTGTCTGACCTCACTGCGAGACTTGAATATTCTACGTCCGATCACTGGCGGAGTCTTGGAAGAGTACTGGTAAGGTAGACCATACTAGATACAATTCGTCTTTGAATAGTTCTTCGAATGATTTCAGTTTATGATGAATAACTTGGAAAAGAAATATCGATTGTATAGTTTTCTGTATACGGCTTAGCATAATTCTACAAATTGGATGACTTTCATCTTGTGAAACTGATCTGAACATGTTAGAAACAGTTATCGAAATAGTAATGAAGTGTTCAATGAAGTAGTTGTCTTGATATCTCAGCTGAATACTCAAGTCAGTCGAGATGATGCGAGTATCAGACTAGGCAATGAAGTAGACAGTAGTTGATTTCACATACTATTGTGTCAGTCTATTTGAATTCGACCAGCGAGATAAGATAATACAGATGTCAGAATGTCCTGCAATGATGATAACTTATCAAAGGGCCACAGGAGATGTAAATAATTTCGAAGCAGGTTGCCCCCAAGGCATGTACATAGTTGGTACTTGTACCTGAAATACCAATCCAAGTGAATAGATCAATACGTTTCAAATAATCACTGGCACACGCAATATTTGTCCATGTTTCAGGACACATGCGTTTGTGTGTGTGTGTGTGTGTGTGTGTGTGTGTGTGTGTGTGTGTGTGTAGACTAGGGTAACCAAGATCTGTGTAACATTAGTTATTTCAATATTGCGATGAGAAAAACTACTCCCACCTGAATTCCATCCATCTTGAGGAAACTGAACAGTTGTTCTTTATTTCGTTGTTATCATTATTACCATTATCATCACCACTATGGCACCATTAGCAAATATATTTTGAAAATTGTTGAACTGCATACATATCAAAGATTACTGCTTAGACTGGTAGCACAGGTATTCCTTCATAATTTCCAGTGTTTAAACTTTAAGTTGTGATGATAATCACAACCATGGTGGCAGTGGTGGTGGTGCATGCAAGCTATGACTTAATTCTGCTCATAAATTCCATCACTATTCACAGTTCAATCTCAAGGTCAATTGTTGTTTGTTTTTTCGCGTACTGTTGTAGTTGAAAAATTAGATAAATATGTAGTTGTGAAAACTATAAGTGAGTGTATGTGCTAACAGCCTGTGACATCTATTAACGCTGTTACGCAGTTGCCGGACATTGCTATCTTACAAGTATGGTTAAAGTCTTCAATCATGACCCGATATCAATATAAGCCTTTTAAACCATAGTTATCCCGGATAGTCAAACTGATTATCAGTATGATGGGATGAGAAGTCCTGAATGCATGCAACCAGTGTGAATGCCATCAAATGATAGTAACGCGCCATGAATTCACATGACAGGTGGGCAAAAACCTTGGTGAATGAAGTAAAATCAAAATAGGGTCAGCCAGCAGCCAGGTCTTGTAGATAGGTAGGTAGCGCATCGTGTCGCAAACCTGGAAGTCGCTTGTCCGAATCCTGCCGCAGCCCAAATTTCCACATCACTTTGATAAATACCTGCATATCTAACTAATCAATAGTTGGTAGACAGGTGAAAATGAGCGTTGTGTCCCCTATATGAGGTGAACGAGAGCGACAACCAATCAATAATGAGTGACCGTAACTTTACGGCCTTTTGTTCCCATTCGTTAACATTCTGACCAAGCGGCCTATGCTTTTCGTGTCTATGATATTTTGTATGCATTCTGTCAAATCCAGGACCTACATTTCGGGTTATTTTGGACACATCAAAATATTCGGCAATAGACAAACATAACTGATGATAAGAACTGAAAAGCAAATTATCCACATTGAGGTAGGTCTTACTAGAGGAATGTTTAATTTCCGACCACTATGTATGAGAATAACAGCTAACCAATGATGAACGACCTAAGTGTAGCTACTCATCATTCTGATTGGCTGATAACGTGACAAGGTCATTCAGGCACTTTTAACGCTTGTATATATTTTGGTAGGCCAGGTTATTCGTATTTAACTGTATGAATCACCGGTGCAACAAAGGTTGAATTCTGAGACGAGTTTATTGTTCAGTGACATAAGGTGGAGCTGATGGTATGATGTACAAAGCTACCAAGAGGTAAATCATTGAACATATCAAACCGGGTGAAATTTTCAGGCTACAGAAAATCAATTTATTGCTACCATTTTCAACGTCCACATTATAATAAACTATAGATAGATGATACTAATAGCCCATCTGAATTTACATTATTACCTTTTCAAGTTTACCGTAATGGTTATTTATCTAGTGAGAAATTACATCTGATAGAAGCGACAATCCATTTCCCGCCTAATACTGCCATATTCAATGCAGTTTTTTAACAAGGCGTCTTTATCAATTTCACTATCTGAGATAACCATAGTTTGTCAGGCTTTTAATGATGTAGGGTGGTGATTGAATAGTAAATGAAAATCTCATGGGTTGTGGTAGAATTTGAACCAGCGACCTCTTGCTTTCCAACCTAGTGCCGTGTCAAACATGTTACAAAAAGTTTACTTTTCTGAAGAGATCGACTTGAAGCATGAAGGGAGAATGAACTCAACTCGAGGAGGATCCAATCTGAGGTTAATTATGCTAATGGAAGGCTTTGCATAAATCCGATTGCTGGTGACATATGTTTCACAAAAGCACCACTCCTTTTCTGTAGAATAATCATATTGAACCATTGAAAATTGAAGATAGTTTATTATATTATTATATACTATTTGTCCCATGGATTCTTAGTGAAACACATGGCTTCAGCAGCACGCCTCCATTCCACTCTCTTCTCTGCAGTCTTTTGAACCTGGCTCCACCACTACCCACAAGCTCTCATTTCTTCCTCACATGATCTCCTCCATGTCACTCTCAGTTGGGACACCCAACTCATTGTTTCCCATCTGGGTTCCACTTGAGTACCTGGCCTGCCTGGCACTTGATGTCCATGAATGGTCTTCTCAGTGTATACCCAATCCATCTTCACTTCCTTCTGTATATTTGTTCAACGATAGCTTCTTGGTTGCTTCGTTGTCAGGCCTCCAGAGTTCCTTGTCGCATATTCTTCCTGGGCATCTGATCTTCAGTAACGAACCAGTGTAGGCAGTTGGTGATGAGTATCGAACGACAGTTTAATATGGACTTATTAGAGAGTTGGATAGTTTAATTGTTGAATGAACTCGGTTACTGGTTTTGATCTCCTGTAAGCTTTGAAGATAATCATTATGATAAGGTATTTATCATTAAGGAATAAAGCAAATACGTAATTTCATCCAGTTTTGTGTAGTCATGTAGTCATATTTTACCCAGATAGCATTATCTTTTCAATTCTTTTACTTGTCATCAACTGAATGATAAGCTTTGTTATGGATATCAGTGTCTATCAATGTGTTCGGAATTCCACAGTTCATATAATTGATACTTGCTTAAACTCATGATATAACGCAGCTGTCACATAATTCTGTGGATGGATATCTGTCCGAATGGTATGAATTGGCGGATGAATAACTCAGTTTTCAAGCACTGGTTTTCGGCTTTAAACCCACTTACTTCAACCTAGAAGACAGGTAAGCACCATAAGCCTCAGACAATAAAGTGCCTGTAAGCTTAGTATAACCTCGCCTGGTTAACTAGTTCACTAGTTACTAGCCGGTCCTAAACCCGGGTAAAGACGGAAGGTTGGGTGTAGGACTAGCAACCCTACCCCGTAAAACCAATCCAACCGCTACAGAAACCTCAAAGCACAGACAAAATATAAAACATAAAAACAAACTTATTTCTCGCTGGAATAGGAGAGACGAAATGATGCCGGTTGGTGAAAGCCTTCAGGAAGCCGATTGGCCGATGCATCTTAGCCTCTCTCGATGAAAGCCAAAGTAAACATGAGGAAATGGAATGTCTACACTATGTTTGAACCTAGCAAGGCTGCCCAAATTGCAAAGGAGATGAGAAGGTGTAGCATTGAAGTGCTAGGAATCTGCGAAAGTAGATGGGATGGAAGTGACATCTCCAAACTGTCAACTGGAGAGTCAATAATCTGCTCCGATATTCTTATCCAGACGACAACCATGAGCACACTGAGTTATGGAGTGGCTATCATGATGTCTCCAAGAACATCGAAGGCTCTCATACAGCTGGAACCAATCTCCTCCTGCAGGTTCATAACAGCAAGGTCCAACTCAAAAGGACGGAAAATCACAATCGTACAATGCTACGCTATGCACCTGCAAATAATGCAGATGAAGATAAGATGGAGGAATTCTACAGACAACTGCAATCAACACTGGACCAGATCTCAGTTGGCGACATCGAAATTCTAAT